GAAAGTCTTCCGCCTTTCTTAGAATTCATTACGAATACTTTACCTAAAGAACCTATCAAACAATTTCAGCAATGTTTAATAACGTGTCTTTTAAACAGCATAAACTCCTTGTGAAATGTTTCAAACGTGAAAATATAGTAAATAAGAGGGAATCCTCAACAGCTGCGACACTTGTAATTCTTTTAGGCAGGATTAAAGTAAATTAATCTATGATACCTTATTTTTTCCCCTTTTTATTTGCTATATTTTCGTGCGCCAGCAATACTAAGTGTGGGGTGCGCGTATAACCGATTCGATTTTATTACTCATCAGGATCTCTACCAGCCTACCCTCAAATTTAAATTATTTTAGGCAAGATTAGAATAAATTAATCAATGAAAACTTGGGCGTGGTCAAGCACATAATTCGAAAGGGTTTGACCTCCTGAGTCCAAAACTTTAATTATATCTCAAATCAGTCAAGAGATGACGAAGCTATGAGCTACAAGTTTGCACTTTAAAAAATAACTTGAAGCCTTTGTATGAGCCGCTATGTCGCGGCTAATAAATATGCGAGGTAATTTTTAACTGTAGGTCAGAAATATCAACTTTTGTTGTTCACGGCTATTGTAGTCTTCTACAAGTTTTTAAGTAAGATATAGTTTTAATGGGTGACGAACCGTAAGAGCCGAACCGTATGCAAAAACTGAAGTTTTTTTACCTCGTATCACGTCACCATAGGATGTAGTAAGTTAACATGGTGTTTGAGGATTAATTACTTAATATAGTATTTGAGGATGTAAGTATTTGGTATGGTGCTTGAGGGTGATGTTAGGCAAACTAGCGCTTAAAGAAGTAGTTAGTAATGGAGCTTGGGGATGTAATTAGTGAATTTGGTGCTTGAGGATTTAGTTACTATGGCACATGAGGATCCAGGTAGTAAGGGGCTTTCTTTCTCTTCAGAGTATTTATGTTTAATGTATGATTTCGTTACTTCTATACACTTTGCTCTCCTCAAGATGAAAAGTCAACTATTCGAAAGCGCTTGAGTTTTGGGGTCTTATTTTAAGTTTATTACACTTTATATGTGATCCTTTGTGTTAACTATTTTATCTACATTGACTGTCAAATATGTTATAACAAACTGAATTTACATGAAACATCGTACTAAAGACATGTCGCTATATAAATGAGTAAGTGATCCAATGCAAACTAATCAAGTAAGATTTCAGTTATTAGTCTTAGAAAAAACTAGTTTATCGACTATTTCAAAGCAGGTGTTTTATGTACATAGATTTCGAAACTGTTAGGGTAACATACATCATCTTTTCACTTAAAAATTATACAAATCAGTGCTCTGGGATTTTCTTATCAAAAAACACTTCTCACCATAGCCTAATATACTATTTTTAGTATACGTAAGTAAAATAACAGTCTTAAGTATAACACATACTGAATCATTTATTAACAAAACTTCAGTATATAATAATATACTACTTACGAAAACGTCTTAGTTTATAAAATTCTGACTTACAGCTCAATGTAATAATACCTGTTCAATCATGCTATTAGTTACCATAGATAAAATATAAGGGGCATTCTCCAAAGTAATCAAAGTTTCTATATTTTAGAAACTATACAAAACATATCACTTACTTGAGATCCATAAATAAGTTGGCTATCCACCATCTTGCTGAACATCAGATCTTTACCGTAATATTGACACTCCTTTACAGCTTGAAACCGAAGAGTTTCAACATATGTTAGGTTCATTATAAGTAAAGACTTGTAAAGTATCTGCCAAGTATAAATAGATAGATAGTATCAAACATACTCAAATATTGGAAAATATTTGAATGTTTAATTATATGACTGTATAAACAAAACAAATCTCTATAGATAGAAATAAATAGGACACTCACTAAAATGATTTGTATAGAGATCATGATCACATGATTTGAAAGTATTCACCACAAAGTATACACTCATAACACATGTCCAGATCAATAGAATTCTCTAGGAAGTGACACTTATAAGTAAAACACTGTGACTATTGCTTTCACCTTTGTTCATTAGTCACATTATTTCTTGTTTTTCATGTTTATTATTTATCTATTATCATAAAAGTAACTAAAATATAAAAACAGGGATCTATTTAGATTAATTAATGTTAGATTAGGTAAATTAAATAATGATAATAATATATTAAAAATATTTCACGAGCTACGCACACGAGCAGCTCAGAGTAGCTCGTGGGTAAGGCAATTTGATAGCATAACATGAACTGTATGTTCCCCAAGAGATTTACAACATATCATTGCGCGAATAGTAGTTAGACACGGTTTAAAGGGAAATAAAATTTAATTATAAATATATGTATATTGTTACAAGTTTAAAGCTACTTAGAATAAACGGATGTAGTTTTATGTTACAATTTGAAGTCATTTTAGAGATAAAAAGAGGGTTTGGTTGTTTGTTATGAATTCCGCACAAAGCTACACAAAGGCATTCTAGAAAGAAAAAAAGGGTAATTTAGATTTATTTTGATTCTTTTTTTTTTGGTGATTATGAGGTCAGTCAAGTCAAATATATGAACTGCGTATTGAGTTTGGGTAGAGAAAATAACAGATAAAATATAAAGTTTTACTGAAAACAAATATTTGAAATGTATTTAGGAGATTTTATTGATTACACAAATGAAATTTAAGATTTTTGACATGAAGTATTTTTAATCTTAGCATGAAAATCATTTTGCACAAAGACTATTCAAAACAAATACTCGATATATGAAAAGACAAATCTTTTTTGGTTTATTAAAAATACTTCACTAAATATAATATTTTTGTATGTGAAAGGCATATAATGTTTACTGAAAGACTGCCAAATTTCGTGAAGATATACACACTATATTTAAAGTTAATAGTACCAAATCTATAAAGAATAAACGAATACAAAGAGATCGTGTGTTTAGTCAGTGTTGAGAGAGTTAAAATCATTTTTGAAACATTATGAGATGTTTAAAATAATACTTAGATATTAGTGTATAATGAAATCTCATACATTTCACGTGTTTATGTAGTTATCAAAAAGTGGAGTTGAATCGATTTTTCATTTTGAAAAATTATTCTAAGCCCACTGACACTGTCTGAATCAATTGTTGAAATACAAGAATTAGACTCTGTCATTTATAATCTATATAAATTCTTACATACTGAGTTGGAATAAACAGGTAGTAATATAAAAGGTCAAGAAATGTAAAAGTATGATTAAATATATGCCTACATGCCTTCGTAAGTCAATCCTCCAATAGTAACAAGCTTTCTAGTATCAATCTATGATATCACCCCTCTGTAAGATAGCCGTGCCCTCCGATTCTACTTCATGGAACAATTACATAATCGCCTAGCAACGCTCCCTCTGGTGACACTTGGAGGAACTATGACATAATCGTCTTTGGTGACATCATCGTTTCTACCATTTCCCTCCCTCCCTCCCCGAGGTCGACATATGTATAGCGTTTTCTAACGACGTGTCGCGCGGGTACTGCACTTACTACTATTATTACATGGTATATTTTACTAAATACGATGAGACAACCATATGGAATTTAATGTTGTTTAATATTTTTCATATTCTAACAAAAAATTTATGAATTGCAAATGTCTACGTATAATTTTGGTATAGTAAGTGATCATTTATTTTCAAGCGACCTATTTGGAAATCATAATGCTCGGCATTGTATTTCTCTTGGACATTCTTAAGACAGTAAATCTATTCTCTGACTATTTATATTATTGGTTTTACGCCAAAAGCAGGCAATCCATCATTTGGAATAATGACATATTCAAGACAAAATCATACCAAAACTTACTCTTGGTAAAACAATTTGCATTATGATTGATTTACATGTATTATTAGTGTTCAACTGTTTCTGGAGTTATTTGCAATCTCAATTTATTTATTAGGCAGTTTATGATATCATTAGAAACAAGTTCTGATTCTAATTCTTCTTATAATTTCTACAGCTTACCGAATTTTATATTTTCTTTATGAATATCAGCTGAATGATAAGTCATTTCTACACACTTCTTACAATAAAAATTAATATTACTCTTAAAATTATTGGACGTGTTATTTTTCTATATTAATCTCTTCAGATTATTGAAATCACACATTCTGCATTTATGCTACGAAAATTTAATTAGAAATCAAAATGCATCATAATCGGATTTTTTATTTTATCTTAAGGTAACGTTGTATACATATATCTCACCCTTCTTTATGTGTTGTTACAAACATTCTTTGGAATAAAATTAGTGATAGAATAAACATTTCTGTAATGTGATATAAATCCACCAGATATACCTTTATTAGCAATTTATATACATAATACATTGATACTTTTAATTGAAGTTGAAATAATGTTAAGTGAATTTACATTATAAAACACAATTAAACCGTTTTAATCACAAAAACTAAGGTTGAGTAGTGTGCAATATATAGACACTCTCTAGCTTTTTCCTGGCATGGTCTTATGTTTAAAGCGCTAGACTTGTAATATACGAGTTACGGGATCGAACTTTCGCACCTACCATGCTCGACCTTTCAGCCCTGGGAGTGTTATAATGTTACGGCTAATCCGACTATTTGTTGGTAAAAAAATTATGCTAGAGTTGACGATGAGTGTTGCCAGCGGATGCCTTTCCTCTGATCGCCAGTTGAAAATTAGAGACAGTGGCAGATAGCTTTATTAGCCATAAAACAAAACATACTAGCAAATTCTATGTTGTTATTGACATTTTTCAAATGAAATTGTGTTCTTTCTAAACATTTTTTACTACACTCAACCCTTAATGGTTACTGTTATATATATATTTCTAAAAGTTATAAGCAAAAGGCTTGAAATATTGAGTAACGGACTTTATAGAGAAATGTATTTGAGCTACCCAAACCTTATGAGCACCTATTGTAAAATCTCTTCATACCAATATTCATTTCCTTTGCGAAGATGCAACTCCTCATTATTTTGGCCTTGTAGAGAATTTTATACACAAAATCTGCTGAGGAAATACTGGAACGCGCAGAAATAAAAACGAAAACTGCTGGACATAAGCATTACTTTGGACTACTTTGGACATATAATTAGATTTGAAGGAAGGCTGGCGGGAGATAAAGGTGACACATTTTCTATAGGCATCCCATCATATTTATTTTATTCATCACCCCTGCAATAAGTATGAAATTTAACGTAAATTACTTATTATATAATCTTCATTGCTCAGACAAACATCAATTCATATAGCTTTTAATTTCATATGGTTACAGAGCCATCAAATAGAAAATCAGACCCCTCTTACTTTTGTTTGTTTGAAATTAAGCACAAAGCTACATAATGGGCTATATGTGCTCTGCCCACCACGGGTATCGAAACCCCCTCTTGCTACACCCACCTGTTTCATCCTCTCTTTCAGGATTTCTTGATAGTTCTCTCTTACCTTCAATTCTATATTATCTATAACCAATAGAAAGCCAAGGTTTTCAACTTACAACGCTAGAAACCGGATTTCGATACCCGTGGTGGACAGAGCACAGATAGCCCATTGTGTAGCTTTGTGCTTAATAACAAACAAACAAACAATCACTTACATCTCATGAACTAACTTATTAATGTTCAATGGAGGGTTTTTATTCACTGGTTAGATCACGAGATTACAAATCACGTGACCGTAATTGACATAATCATGTGCAAAATATCTGTACGTAATTTACATACTCTTGTGCAACATTAATGATATTTGCACGTCACCGCTAGAGGAAACAGGTGTCAGTCTCATAATATATGCATATTTACTCAAAATAAACGTGGCCATCAGAAGGTGAGTTAGCGTTTTAAACATAACTAAAAATGCCCCCCAGTGGCACAGTGGTATATCTGCGGACTTACAACGCTAGAATCCGGGTTTCGATACCCGTGGTGGGCAGAGCACAGATAGCCCATTGTGTAGCTTTGTGCTTAATTTCAAACAAACAGCTGATTTATATTGCTGAAACGTCCATAAATTATGCAAATAGACGATGAATCAGATTGTATCATGCGTTTTCTCGGCGGCAGATTGGCAAACATGTAAAAATAATGCGCATTTAATAACTAAATAGCGCTAAAAATTTATAGATAAACTAAACGATAGAAGGAATAATGAATGAACGATAAGCAAAACCATAACCAAATAAAAATAGAATTTGCTATCTCACGATATATTATGCAGGTTTAGCGAGAATATCTTGTCACTTAAATCAATTGGAAAGATACCAAGCAACGTTTACTTACGGTAGCGACATATAATATATACCTCATTTGTTATGTGATATAATGCTTGTTCTTGGTCTGACATCAAATCATCTCAACAAATATTATTTCAACTTCCACGTATGTGTTTAAACTGTTTTTAATTTTCTTGTTCATTCTATAACAAAACTAAATTGAGCTATCTGCTGTGCCCACCGTGGGGAACCGAACCCTGGATTTAAGCATTGCAAGTCCGAAGACTTACCGCTGTCCCACCGAGGGACTAATTCTCTTCTAATCTTTTCGAAAATAATGTTATATTTCTATGTTTCAAATCAAAAAGAAATACAGAGTTAAAACAATTTGTTGTTTGTAAACAACGGTTTTATAACCTCCTTTCTTTTGTTTCAAAACGAAAACATTTTGAGAGAACTTAGAATATTACCATCATTTTACTTTGAGAATGATATAATGATTTTGCCAAACCTTTCACGTAATTTTTCACTTAACT